AAATAAAAGTACTGTACTTAAGAAGTATTTGTATTTCATGAATTATATTATTACATTTGGCCGCAGCCCTGAGATAGATTTTATATTGAGGAAAATGTTTGAGCAGCCTTGATATATGTATATAAACTGAAACAGCTGGACTAGTGCGTCCTGAATTTAACATAAATTATTTTAATAAGACATAGATTTTCTGTAATAACATTTATTAGGAGGTGACCACCCCAAAAAATGCATGAATGACTAATTGCTCAATTCAAATCAATACTTTTACTTTTAAACATAAGTACAAAAAATATCATATCAGTAACTTTAATACTTTTACTTAAGTAATATTCTTAAAGTAGACTTTAACTTTTACCAAACTAATTTTTTGGTAAGATACTTGTACTTTTACTCAAGTATCACTTTGTGGTACTTTATACAGTACAACACTGATTTTAGTCTCACAAAACTGGGTTTACTTCAGTCAGTTTTATAAATATTGAGCTACAGTTTGGTGACAGAAGCTGAGAGTCACTCCCAAAACAAAGTCTGAGCACGAACAGTTTGTGAGAGGTTTGTTTACATTTTAGCATTTAGYTTTTAAAGTCAACCCTGTCTGTCTKTYWGCAAAATATCACATGAAGCRCTCTCTCTCAGAGAGTRATCGTTGGTTGTGCCTCTGAACTGATCGTTTTGACTCCTCTCCATTCCAGATGGCCGACAGCTCATCAACCTGAGCAAACACAAATAGGGCTGATGCTCATCATCACACAGTCAGATAGATATTAAGCTAAAAGTTGGTGTTTCAACACTAAGACTGATTACAATAGCTAATCTGAGAGAGCTTTGTTTCGAACTTTGACCATTATTTGCTGCATTAAAGTATCATTAATGAGATAAACATGATGAATATAAAGTTAACCTGGTAGTTATTGTGCTAAACTGTTTTCCATCCAGGTAAACAAGAACAGATGAAGTATGACGGCCTGACTAACAGGAGAATATGTTGTCGTCTGTCTGCAGTCAGGTTATTTCGTGCCGACAGCACAGCGTTGTGTGGATGTTTGAATGTTCCTGAATGCCGATCGTTTGGCACTGCGACTGTTCCTCCCCTGAGAGCGACAGTCCTTCATATCCTCCTCAGCTGYTGAGAGCCGAGTGCCATCTCTATGGTAACTGTGGACGAGTTGGAAAATTGCTTTTGTTTTCTTTTTTTTACCGTGCGCGGCGCARTCATCGCTCCTTCAGTGCTGCTCCGTCTGCAGGTGTGCTGGGGAGCGCAGCAACCTTTACCTGCTGCTATCGCTCTGTTCATTTAGAGGCAGAGATGATTCAGATGCATCTGTTTGTATCAGCTGAGTATCMGAACAGCCCTCTGATACTGAGGCCACCTTGTTTTCCTGGTTAAGACTCTAATCTTAGCTTCAGCTTGCTGCTTTTTATTTTCACTCCTGTTTTTTTCTGTTATAAAAGGACATAATGGATGTGGGGGCGAGCTGTGTGAGGTGGAGGTGTGGAAGTAATGGATGTGTGTGCTATGACAGCTCCTGACGYTGTCACTCAGAGCAGCAGCTCCCCTGTTGTTATGATGATGATGTACTGATCCGTTTTAGGAGAAGAGCTCAGAGAAACTGTGAAAGGACCAGAGTTTATATGAGTTATACATTGGATTTATTTATTTCAATGAGATGTTTGTGAACTGGAAGCAGAAGTCTTCCTAACAGTAATCTGAATTTAACAGCAGGTTCCTTGTTTTCCCGTCATTTCTTCTAAACTGGAGACAGGTGGACGTACTTTATGATGGATGTCCCGGCCTTCACGCTCTTTCTGAAAACAATCTCCTACCTAATGACCGCGTGTCGTTACCGCTGCAGGGCTGAGTAAAGAGGGAGCTCGACCCAGATGAAGTGCTGGGGTCGCCTGTGTTAATGGGAGAGGCAGAAAACAAAATAAATCACAGCGACTCCGGTCAGCCTGAAGAGGAGGAAAAAGATGGTGCTGCTGGGAATATGGTTTTAAAAAAAACAGCTTCAAACTTGTTTATTGGATCTATGAAGCACGCTGGTTTATTTTAGATCATTTCAATACTAATGTGTTTTACTTTGTCTTTAAAGGATATTTTTGGGTATTTTGAAGAGAGGGTTTTGTGGAATTGATAAATAACATCCTAACTGTCTTTGAGCATCTTCAATGTGG